AAAATAAAAATTATACATGTATAAAATGCATATCATGTAATTGTATATAAACACATACAACATATCTATCTCCCACTCCACTGATGAATACATGTTTATGTGTCTATATGTATATGTGAGTGTATGTATACATATTTGTACATGTATAGAATATCTCTGAATGGATACACAAGAAATAGGTAATAAAGAGAAAATGAATACTGGGGATGGGGGAAGGGGAACTGCTTTTCCTTATATATTTTTTGTACACCTTGTACCACAAGGAATTGTTCCCATTTAAAACTATAAATAAAATTAATTTTAATTAAATTTAATTTTTAAAAGGAAAAAATGTTACTTTCTCTTTCAAAGTGCTTACATTTATCCTCTATCCTGAAGTGCTTACATTTATCCTGTGGTTTGTGGAACAAGCCAGTGCCCCTGTGTCTCAAGCAAAGTCATTGACAAGCTGAAGAAGTCCTCCTCTGATTTGTCATTATTTCTCTGTTTTTCCTTCTTAAAATAAAAGGCCTTTCAAAGTTTATGTAGCCAAGACCCTACAGTGAATCTGGAAAAATTACTGGACTTTTTCTTAGCTACTGGTGCCTGATCTATTGATTCCAGGTTCTATTCTAAATGATTACATTTCTCTTTCCTTCAGGCCAAATCAAGACCTCCTTGCTTTTCTCTTTTTTCAGTTGAATAATTCTGTACAAATCTCCCTGTTTGCATTATTTTTTAACCATCACAACTTTATTGTAGCTCTACTTTACAAGTGAAGAAGTGGATCACAAACAGGTGATATTCCTTGCTCAAAATCCCACAGCTAGCAAGTGGCTTTTCCCTGTATAGAGAAATTAACAACAACAACAACAAAACCGCGATCAGTATGGGAGCGATTAACTTTTTCCACTTTAGAATGAGACGTTAAATATTTAACACACGTTGTCAGCTTGGGGATGTTTGAGAAATTGCTTAGAAATGGCTGGGCTCAATTGTTTTTGTTTCTCCCGGCAAAGAAACATATAAAGTGCTTTGTTGATAACAGTCTGTCTGGAAAATTCGTGTGAAGTGAGAGCAGCCTAGACTCTTAGGTCACAGACACGGGGCCGTACAGATGAGA